TTGACATAGACGCGTGTGGGACGAGGTATACGAGACGCTATTTTCACTAATATTTGTCTTGATGATGAAATGGGAAGAGTGGAGCGCTCTAGGAACGGGGGATGCAGTTCAAATGGTATGAGAGAGTATATACGGTACATATTGCATTAGGCGGAATTGTGCGCTCTTAAAGTAGATCGTAAGTTATAAAGTGGGAAAAACGAAAAACGGTTTAAGAGTTGACAGTAAATAGTAATTTGTGCGATTGCTGCACAATCTTTCCAAGTATAAAAGAGATGAAAGTAGAGACGAATATATGTACCAGTTATACATATATATAGCATTTCAGAACCAGGGGCGTAACTGACTTGAATTCATTAAAACGATGAAAGAATTCTTAATAAACATAAATTTATAAATACTAATTGTTTTTCAAGTGCCTTTAGCTTGACCTATTTTACAAGTTAAATTCTTTGTAGGCTTGTAAAAATATAGAATCTTCGGTATCTTGACAGTTCGAGGCATTTGATAACTTATATTTTTATTCATATGTATGAGTTTCGCTTACATTTTCAATATTGATTAGTATTATTATTTAGTGAAGACTTTCTGAAGTGTGTATTGAATGGCAACTCCGATTTGAACATCCGCTTTAAATGTAGGTATTCAATCCGAAGTTACCTATAACGTTGATATTTAACTCTTACAAATTCATATGACGATTTTCCTGTTCTTTATTATACGATGAGTCGTTCGTATCTGGATTAATTTTCATCGCTTAAAAGTATACAAAAATTTTTAAGTTTTCGCATATACTTTAACATCTTTAGAAAGTATGTATAAGGTTATGTATTAAAAAAGAAGAATAAAGAACATTATTTATATATAGTAAGATATTCCTAGTATTTCAAAGAAAAGAAATGCGCAGAATACACAACTGAGATTCTATCGTAACCACAATTGTAAGTACTTCAATTATCTTTGTAATTCTCTATATATGTCTAATACTTGTTTCTAACAATGTAGATTAACTATAATCTTAGTTTAACTTACCCTTGTCTTTTTCTAGTTCCATAAATTAGAAAGGAATAAAGAAGTTAAACCAAAATTAAAATTAATCTTAATTGGTAGAAATGGATATATAAATTATACGAACGAGTTATAAAATGGAAAGCTGAATATTTTTTGAAAATAATTTGTTTAGTAGATTATTCTCGTATTCTCTTTATTCTCAAGATTTTTATTTGTTTTTACAAGATTTATGTTAGCTAATTTTATGTCAATGTACATTTCTATAAATTAATAATTTCACGCCTATCTATATAACATATAATGACATCTATTGTAGATATTTACGATAAAAGATTACTTGATATTATTTCACGATTTTGAATCATTCTCGCGTACACTAGATAATGTTTATTGCATCATAAGATGAAACAATCAGATTCCTAAATTGTAGAAAGATCTCAAGTTGTTTTATGATTTATTTATTGTCGTAAAGTATTTACGAGCGCAAGATATACTTCCCCTTTAGGTATTGCGCAATATCGCGATATGTCCTGGAAAATCTGTTTCCTGCGACAACACACCCGTCTCGCGAAAGGGGGTCGGCACGCGTTGCGAATAATGCGAATACGTATAATTAAAGCCTCGAATCGAGAGCACACGATAATACGATCCGTGCCGCGGACATAACTAGTTAGTAACACGCGTCAACGTCAACGCGCGTGTCGGACTGACGGAAACATATGCTGCGGACGTCTACGCGCATCCGGCGCGCATTCCTCCACCACGCAGAGGCACGTAAATCCCCGTTTAGCGCGGGCCAATCGTAACGGAGGATTTCGAGAATGCGATGGATGGACCGATTCGACAAGCGTGTCAATCACCGAATGACCTAATGAATTATAGACGTGATAAGAAAATTATACCCATTATTTCTTTCATGTATGGAAATATTCGTTACAATCAGACTTTTTATCAGATATTTTCTATTATCTGTGTTGGAGTTATTAGCAAATGATAAATGATAAATCTAAACTGAAAAAGCTCTGTTTAGCAATTATATTGTATACAGTATCACACGAAAATCTTAAACATTATATTAAAGATAAAATTAACTGAATAATTTCTTTTTTTTAACATTTTCTAATGATAATAAAAAATAATTGTTAAATTTAATGCCACGGTTGTTATTCTTTTATTATTAATGTTACAGTAGAAGAAGAAATGTGTTGTAAATGAAAATTGGAATGATGGCTATATCGTTTCGATCTATCGAAATAAATGGATAATAATGTCAAAGAGACGTTTTCCTGAGACGTGTCAGACTATCCGATCTCTTTTGTAGGATACTATTCTTTTTATTGCCAGCAAGAAGAGAGACTCATTGATATTTACGCTAAATATACGTGCCATTTTTTTACGCATGTATAATAATACAAAAAATTAATATTAAAGTGACGTAACAATATATTTTTTTATATTGATATTTTAAAATATTAATATTCTATTAATATTTTCAAATGTCAATATAATATTATTTTATGAAAATATTTTAACAATGATTATAATGTTTGATCTGTATGAAACATGATTACTATACATATAAGTAATAGATATTCCGATCCGAATATCGAGCATCACGCGTGCAACAAGAGTCCGTTAAGATAAGCGAAAGGTGAACAGCCGGATGCGCTCGTGGTTGTCTCTCGCGAGCTGGTAATATGAACTTAACTTGTGTCCCCGCTGGCAGCGTACCAACCGTTAATTCGAGGTCTTCGTTAACATGAGCAAGAGAAAGCGTCGAGTGGTTACGCCTCGAGGTTGCATACAGGTCACTAGCAGGAATCTTCATGTTACGTACCATACGACCCGACGATGATGATGACGTGTAATCTTCGTAATTTCGCCCCTCGAAAGAACCTCGCACTAATTACATGGAAAATTGGGTTCTGGTGAAATGAGTTGGTTTTCACAAATATGTATTATAGCTTTATGTGGTGAACCAAAAATGTTATATATACATGGTTCAAATAAGTGCTAGTTCTTGAACTGTACAAGTATATCAAAATATAAAATTTTATTATTATAATTAAAAAACAAACTTATAATTTGTATTTGCAGAAGTACTTTTTGATAAATCATATGCTAAAAAAAAAACTATTAATTATTCAGCTTTATATCTATGACATCTTATTATAAACTATTATACATTATATGTGAAAACGAATATTTCATTGGGACTAAATTTTGCATATAATTAGTGCGAAGTTTATTAATTATATGGAAAATTAGGTTCCGGTGAAATAAATCAGTTTTCATACACGATTGTAGCTTATTAAACATAGAAAATTAGGTCCCGGTGAAATGAGATTGCAACTCATTGCACCGAGACCTAATTTTCTATATTTAGTGCGGTCTTTCAACGAATACCTAACGATCCACAGCAAACATGTCCATAAATAAAGGGCTTTCAAACGGCGATAAAGGTATAACGCAAATGTCGCGTTACGTTTGAAAAATTATTCTCTTACTTTTTTGTTATTATCGAACATAGTAGAGCTGACGCCAGAGAATGGCTGAGGGACTTTTTCTAGCTTGTGTGTTAGTAAATCTCCATGAATTGATTTCTTTAGTTTGTTTATGTCTGCGTATATGTGCAAGAGCGTTAAGCACATTCATGGTGTATATGTATAAGGATTAGTATCCCGCCGACTTGATTACCCGAATGCGTAAGCGCTTACGTAGGACGTTTCATTGATCGACACGCTTTTGCGTCATACTCATGCCGTTTACACGAATTTGTATATGATCATCGTTATTGAACTGTTGACATTTACGATACCAGAAAGCGACTGCGAAAGATGATTTCATTGGCCTTTTAAAATAAATGATCTTCGTGATTACATTTTGGTTGGTCGCTATTTACAGTTCTTATTTTAGAACTGTCTTAAGTAATAATATTTTATTTTAAGATATTAATACGGCTGTATGTGATTAATTTGTTATCTAAAATTATATACTTAAGACAGTTTTAAACAAGAACCGACCTTTGTCTTTCATTTTTAAAACATTAATAATGTTAATAATCTTTATTGCAATGTATACAACAATAGTTAATTACAAAGCTGAAAGACGAAAAGAAATACAAAAGATAATATAGTGCACGTAAATGATGAAGCTCCGACAAGACTACTGCTATGAAGACTATCCAGTAACAAAAGTAGAATGTTACAAAAATAAGCAAAAGTAAAAAAATAGAGTAATATTGAATATAATTAATTCGTATTTACGATGTGTTTTCATTATAAAATTAGATAATAAACTATATTGAGAAATTTGTCAACAATTTCATTCTCTACAGAAAATGCGGTTGATAAAAATTTCACAATATTTAAAGTTGTGATTTCGAAATTTATTGCGACTTGGTCCAATTCGTAATACCAAATTTCTCGTCGATCCTTAACGTTATTTTATGGAAATTCCCAAATTTCTTCATCAAAATTTATTTCATTTAATCGTACGAAGATAAATTTGTGCAGAATAGTTCAGTACATAGTTATGATGCCATCATTTGTGCATGTCCTCGCATTATGCGTCTCGTTACGGCGAAGTACATTTCAAATTCGCGAAAACTGCGTGGCATGATGAATTTCCCGACCGGTCTTCTAGTTAACGTGATAATCGCGTCTATAAGAATCCTGGGGAAAATTTACATTTTGATTCGCGATTAAAATGCAAGTGCGTTGACACGCGATACGTATCTAGGCGTAAATCTTAAATTGAGAACGTCCACGCTTGTCTATGATTTATAAATATTTATAAATTAATTTATCCTTGGTGCTCTTGAGATGCAGTAGAAATTAAATTAATTGACTTACATATGTAATCTCAGTATATCTTATAAAAATGCACATACATTATCCAATTGTTAATAATAATTGTTGCAGCAATTTCACATTTCTAGGAATATTATTAATGTTAACGTAACATGGTCCATCTCTTTTTTTTTCCAGGGAAGTTCGAACCGTCGTATTAAATAAAGGCTCTCCTGGTCTGGGTTTTAACATCGTTGGTGGTGAAGATGGTGAAGGCATCTTTATTTCGTTTATTCTAGCCGGAGGTCCGGCCGATCTCAGTGGTGAATTACGCAGAGGCGATCAGATATTGAGCGTTAATGGTATCAATCTCCGAACAGCCACCCACGAGGAGGCCGCCGCGGTTCTCAAGGTGAGATCTTCGATTTTGTTTGTTATTATAATATTTAAACAATAAGTAATCGTCGCGGAATTCAACAACTTTTAGTGCTTTTCAGCAAGAGACATAGTGTATGTATATAACACAGTGATAATTTCATCTTCGTTTAATATCGGCAAAAAGTAAAAATCTAATGATTTACTGTATTGCACTGTGTCTCATCTGTATCTCTTCTGAAAAGTGTCTTTTAACTTCGGTAAAAGATTATAACGACAAAAGATTAACATGTTAATAAAGTTTATTATGAAATTTTTTGCTAACCGAAATTTGAATTAAAATATTAATTGAAAAGTGCTGATTACATGAATATAATAATTTTGATGTATTAATATATTTACAAGTTATATTCTCCAAACAATTTTTTAATTGCGATTAATCGAAAATAATGGATACGGTTTTTTTTTTGTTTACGCGTATTCAGGGTACTAGTCAAACAGTGACGATCGTGGTGCAATACAAACCGGAGGATTACAACAGATTTGAAGCGAAGATCCAGGATCTTAAACAACAAATTTCGCAACAGAATGTAATGACAGGCACCCTCATGAGGACCTCTCAGAAGAAATCACTTTACGTGAGGTATTTAATTATACTTTTGCGATTATCTTTTGATTCGATCATTTGTCGCTCAGAGTTTCAATTTCAAAATCTTTTAATCCTGGGGAATATAGTTATTTGGTGTTTTTATATTTATATCCCCACGGTAAAAAAAATGTGAATTATGTGGATATTGTTCTTTAAACTATTTAGCCTCTTATCTGTTTATTTTGTTTAATATTTGTTTGGTTTCAACTTAGATAATTTTTTTTACGAAAATTGTGAGTAAATCCATATCTATGATGTTTTAAAATGCCAGTAAATCGGAAAACAATAATTTACAATATATTGTTATTGTTAATAGTAATGATTTTAAATAGGATGTAAAGTATTCTCGGTGATCGTTTATGTTATTACAAAATGATTACTTTTGTTATTATTATTACACAATTAATTAACATAACCAATAAGAAAGAAATTGCCTTTAACGGTCGAGCTGGATCTTAAGTGCTATTATAATTCCGTGTGAATTTATGTAGATAAATGTTTTAAGAGACGCCACTCTACGAAACTACCGCAAATATCACGAGTTAAATTGTGTTTGCAATTTAACAATTTTTAATGCTCTTTATGCATCTTAAATCGATCTTAATAATATCGAATAATAAATTAAAAATGATTAATTCTTATTGCGAAAAATATACCTCGGCTGGTAGTCGAACCCGAATCTCTTACATTCTGTGCGAGCGTCCTACCAGTTAGACTACCGAAGCCTTAGTAATATTCTTCGCAATAATCGGTTTAAGTAAGAACAACATCTTTTTCAGGTGACGTAAATAAACAACATTTAAATATTAAATCTTATAGTAATTGTGAGAAACACAACCAATAAGAAATTGCCTTTAACGGTCGAGCTATTAACAATTAATTAACACACAGCATCACGTAATAAATAATTCTGTAGAATAATTCCTGACAGGGAAGACACAGGAGAAACCACACAATAGATTGCGACGTTGACTCGTTCTCTTTATTCCGCCATCTCCCTCTTCGTTATTTCTCCCTCGTTCCTCGAGCGCGACGAGATGATATCGAAATCGTGCTAATCAATAATCGATAGGGATCGACGGGCCGCAAGCGCGCCACAATTCATATAAAATACGAAGGTAAATAAGGACGATATTTTTTTCCTCAATAGAGCGTTGTTTGATTACGACCCCAATAAAGACGATGGTTTGCCGAGCCGCGGCTTGGCGTTCCGTTATGGCGAGATCTTGCACGTGACGAACGCTAGTGACGACGAATGGTGGCAGGCGAGAAGAGTCACCCCACAGGGCGAGGAAGAAGGTCTAGGTATAATACCCTCGCGTAGGCGATGGGAACGCAAGCAGCGTGCCAGAGACCGTTCTGTCAAGTTCCAGGGGCACATGCCGGTCATTCTTGATAAGGTGAGTGAAACAGGAATTTCTGGAAGCTCCTAATTTCTTCGAAAATGACGAAAAACTACAAATTATAATACAATTATATAATGTATTATTATTATTTAGGAAGATTATACAAATATAGCTCTTTCTAAAAATTGTATATATTTGTAATATATTTGTACTCTAAAAAGTAAGTGATATTCGAAAAAATCATATCATAAAAATGAAAAGTTTAAGCCGTGTTCAAAAAAGGATACTCAAAAATTTACACCGTTTTATCTAATAATGATATATTTCCATGAAAAGTAACTGATATATTATTAATTAAAGGTGCCAGTACAAAGTGAACATTCATAAATTGTTCGAGCGACATTTGATCTGCGCGCGGGGCGGTGAGGTGAGGGGGACAGCGGAAGGCTGAGGCGATTCGAAAATCGGCCGAAAGTTGCATACACTTTATGTATGGTATGTTCACTTTGTACTGGCATCTTTAATTAATAATATATCAGTTACTTTTCAAAGTAATATATTATTATTAGACAACGGAAGGCGGAGGCGATTCGAAAATCGGCCGAATGTTACATACAATTTATGAATGTTCACTTTGTACTGGCACCTTTAATTAATAATATATCAGTTACTTTTCATGGTAATATATCATTATTATTATATTTAATTATATAAAAATTATCATATTTATAATTTCAAATTTTTACACAAACATTATTTTAATTTTGCTTTTATAATATATGGTTCTCTTTAAATATCATAAATATTTGATAAAATTGTTTCTCTCATGAATAAATTTATTAATATATACAAAACTAAATAAAATTTATGATTTGTTGACTACATCGCAGAAAACTTGTTGATTTCAGCAATCAACTCTAGACCGAAAGAAAAAGAATTTCTCGTTTAGCAGGAAGTTCCCCTTCATGAAGAGCAAAGACGATAAATCCGAGGATGGCTCCGATCAGGAACGTGAGTGTCTAGAATGTGATTGTTATTTTCTTTTCCCTCCTGCACGTTCTGTGCATGTTCTAATCCATATTTACTGTGTTTTAATGTTTTCTCGTATGTATTCGCCTATATACTCATATCGTGCGATTTAACCGCTGAATTACGAAGTTATTCCCTATCCTCGGGCTACAGTCTTCGCAATCGATGGGTTCAATTTTGTATTAATAATTAATAGTTTTCTTAATAATTCCACGTCCTGCAGCAAACTTGGAAAATTTAATCGAGAACGTTATAGTATTATATAAAATGTGACAGTAGAAAACTATTCTTCTAGTAAAGCAACTTTCCGCGTCTATTCTACGATATTCTCTAATATCATCAGTAGTTACGTAAACATTTAATACGTATACAATTTCTTTCATAATTATAGTATCATTGTAAAAATGAATTCTTCAAGATTTCATAACGCGCAATTTTAAAAAGAGTTGTAATCAAAGTCGGTACATAATATAATTTTCCATGCAAAAATCGAAAATTTTTATTTGAGCAAGTAAAATCATTGATTAAAGTCCCAACTTCCGGTGCGATGAGCCCCGATCAGACACGCCCAAGTCCCGAATGAGCTTGTGTGTTTTACAATGTGAAAACGTGACATGTGTTTTGTTTTGCCTGCTTGTGTAGGAACGCCCACCACACCTGAGAATGAGAACGATCCCACCCGTAAGTATTTTAATTAGACATGTAATAAGCTCTGTAAATATGCGCTTTCGCCATTTTACACATGCAATGACGTCAACAGTGACGCAGTTTTAAAGTACACACCAAAATACGAGATTTGGGATGAATTTTGATGATATATTAAGCTAAAGACTAATTACGTACATGAAAAAAAAAACGATTCTATTAAAGTATCTAAAAATTTAATTAGAAACTTGAAAATAATTTTGTTTAGACTATTAAAATAATTATGTAAGATGCTCAAACTAGTTGCTAAAATATTAAAACTTTTGCAGCGTCGTCATTAAGTCGTTATTAAGCGTTCTGTGTTAATTATTTTGATAGTCCATCAAAATTATTGTCAGATCAATATATAATCTAATTAAATTATATATTTTTAGCAAATCATTCTCTCTCTCTTTCTTTCCATGTATAATTTAAAGAAATATTTTTATTTTAATTCTTTTTTCTTATATTAAAAGAATGGTTTCGGGGATGCATCTAAATATTTAGTTAGATACAGATATGAAAATAATTTTGTTGGATTACTAGAATAATTATGTGTGACGCTCAAGTTGGTTGCTAGAATATCAAAATTTTTTGGAGTCTTGCTTATCATGGTTGAATTTTCTACACAAATACTTTCATAATCCAACAAAATTATTTTTAAATCCGTATTTAACAAAAGATTTTTAGATATTTCAGCAAAATCATTTCTTTTTTTTGCACAATGAAGTAAATTGTTAAGGTATAAAGGCCAAAAATTGATAATGCATAGTCTTGTTTGATCGTAATAAAAGAAATTATTTGTTTATAGTATTTTTTAAATGTAATTCGCTTTATCTTGGATCGAAATCGAGTTTTGGTCGAGATTGAATCTCACAATGTTGTATCGTACGCGATGTCGCTTGCGGAGAATCACCATGCAGAGCCGCAGCAGCTTCATTTGCGCCCTTCGACCTCGCTTGCGCATGTACACTGCACCTTGAACTTTTCTGCCCCGTGCAGAGTCTCTAGACTAACATCCCGACCGACGCTCTTATCTACGCTCTCGACTCCGCTTCTAACTTTCGGCTTTTCATTATTAAAGGTTCACAGGTAGTCCATAGAAACGGTCCAGCACGGTAGAGCGATGTTCCTCTCAGACAGTAGTAGTTCACATTTTCTTCTTTCTCTTTTTCATTTTTTTATTTTCTTCCTCAAAAAATAATATACATGATAAAAACGCATTCCATTCATTTCAAAGATCGTGTCACGAAGCACATCATCCTCCATCAGATGTATTCAACAATAGCTCCGGATTGATAAAACAAAAAAAAAAATTGTTTGAAGTACTAGATGCATGTACGTCGCATTGTCATTGTGTTAGATTGAGAAGAAATCTCGTTCTTCGACATGACATAACACGCGATTCGGTGTTCGACCTCGTAATAAACGAGAAGATATACACGCTTCTTACCACTTAGCTGATGGCGAAAGGAAGAGTGTTACAATCTTGAGTTGTACACACAGCTGATACTTTTTTTTTCTTCGTGTTACCCGATGTTTTTCTCAAGCATGAGTGTCTCCGTAGCGAGCGAGACGATTATTCATCGATGTCATGAAAAAAGAATATTTTGATGATACAAACGACGCAGTGTACTTTACGAGTACTTAAACGTAATGCTTTCACAAATAACATGCAACGCATAACATTCCGTGATTACTGCACTAGGGAATTTGCATTCTTCACGAAATACTTAGTTATGACAATTAAATCACGATTTTTAAGGAAGGAATAATTCGGACGATTTAAATCCCCATTCGCGTGTCATTTCTCGAATCTGCAAACACACTTGCATCATGGTTCATCGAATCCATCCCGTGCGTAGCATTGGAATCGCGCGCGCACAGTAGGAGAGAGTTTTCTCGAAAGTCTATAGCGCTTCTAATTAATTCTAGCGGTAATTAACGGTCGCTTATTTAGTACGCAACGTATACTGAAATGTATCAACTTGTTATGTTCTAGCATTCATGCTGTGCTACACCCAGGACGACACTAACACTGAAGGTAATCATGTCTCTCTCTTCTCTCTTCGTTCCCACTCTTTATATCTCGCTATCTTTAGTTCCTCCCTGCCCCTCCCCCTCTCTATTTATCTTTTTCTTTTTCCTCTTTCTTTCTCTCTATATATCTTTCCTACTCTTCCTCACACTGAAGAGATCGTATTGCCTGGGTCAGCCACGCGGGATAATGAATTTTGGTCACGACATTGTTTCACGTTGATTATGCACGTGCTCTGATAGATTAATATAATTAATATAATTAATATCGGTACAAAAATTATGGTAGTATTTATTATTACTTTAACGTTCATTATTTTCTGCAATTTTATTTATCATAAAATGAATGCTAATGTTAACGTTCACGTATATAGTTAGAGAATATGAATTCGGCATAGCACGCTCAAATTTGTTGCAATTATACAACAATAACGCTTCAAAATTTATAATTATAGTATTTGTGAAACGTTCTGACCGAAAATCTCATCCCTTTATTCGTCTATCAGCCTTGCGAGAGATATTGATCACGCTTGCATTCATTTGTCAGCAATAATTCAGCAACCAAATATATATATGATGCCGGGCCTTTATTATACGTCATAGCATATCTATTGTTTTGTTTCAATGGAAGTATGCATATTCATACGAGATGAAAAGGTCAACTCGAAATCTTCATTAGTTAATAATGATGACGTTCGTGCAGTTAAAGCATGTATAAATGTATTTATCCGTGAACATTAATATACACAATATAACGATTGATGACGAATAATACGGTACACGATGTTAAGAATGTAAATTAATACATAAAAAGCAGGTCTCTTTATTTATCTATGGGCCACTTCGATCAACTCCGATTAACTTTAATCGTCGATTAAGGTTAATCAGAGTTGGTCGAAGTGGCCCTATATGTGTTTGCGTATGAATTAGAGAGATTTATCTTATAATATTTAAAATAGAAATAGTATTTGCATAATATGATTTCGAATTGAACTCGAAATACTCGCTGATTATATCATATATCGAGAATTCGTCACAAGCGCATTGTCTATCCGTGAAATTTCACATACGATTTTTTTAGAATTTTCTCATCTTAGGACCTTGATTGTCCGGTACTCTTCCTCCGTCGCCGCTGTCCATTATTCACCTCTCATTCATCACCATTAACATTATCGCCCTTTTATCTCTCTTTATTTTGATCTTTCTCTTTTCTTATTCATTTAAGATTTATCTTGCGCTACAGGGAGTAGAGAAATTTTGTTTCGCGTTCAGCTGCCGTATATGGAGGAACTCACGTTAGTTTATCTGGAAAAGGAGGCCGACGAGCCCAATGACGAGCTTAGTAAGTCGTAGCCGAGAGCAAATGTGTGAACCGTATATTGTGAGCGCATTGCGCGCACACAAAGAGTCGATTTGTTCCTCTAGGAAACTAACGCAGATCGCAGATAATTGTAACCCTGTCAACGGGTGATTATCCTAAAAAAATATTCGTAAAGATGAATAACTGAATAATGTTGTTTGCAATCCCTATGTCAGCTAACGATCTTTGATATTTTCCGATCTATTAATACTTCCGCTCTTACGCAAATTGGTCGTGGATAGAGATTCTCAAGTAAGAGAGATTGGATATTATTCGTTAGATCTGTACTATTTTTTAGAACGTATCTAAGATAGAATAAGATATCCACACATCTCATTTTATCTTATTCTGAAGCCAATAAGGCAAATGAGAGTACGGCGCGATAGTCAGTATGCGAAGTAATAAAGTAAGAAATTTTATTATTTCTTTATTCCATAATTAATGATGTAATTAATTGCACGTTTCGATTCTCTTTTGAAGTCCTCTGCAAATACAAAAAGAAATGTGTGTGTCTCTTGTTTGTACATCAAATTTGAGTCATCAACAAATTTTTATTCTTAAGCGTTCTGAAAAATATGGCGGACCAATTGAAAATTGTCTAAACAGTGTCCAATTTCTCACTTAAAGATCTCTAAACGTGGATCAAAGTTGCCGCGATTCTATAAGATAGATATAATTTGACAGTTGGGGAGAGTAACGTGTCAATATTCTCATTGTGTTTCCGCTACTATCGATTTTACATTATCTTGCGATGTGCAATGTCGCGAGTTAACACAACCATCCGTCGATCTCTACAACTTTTCTACAAACTTTTCACTCTTTTATTTTCCGACGATAAAACTCACGATCGAAATTGAAAAGCAATCGCGAGTACAATACGCCGGTTTAAGGAACCAATCGAGAAACGTCTGTCTCCTTCGACATTCGTTAATTTTCTCCAGGCTTCTCTTCGCGATAAATTACTAACGAGACGCGCGCCCCGCGCACAATTGAAACGGCCGAGCAACATGCTTCTCTCTATCACAACCTGTTTTCTCGTTTTCTTTTCTTTTCGCCGCTCTCTACCTCCTCTTCTTCGATCGTAGAACCTGTAGACGTTAACAACAGCAGAACGCAATTAGAACGCTCAAATAGACGAAGAAATTGTGTCACTTCTTCTCGTCGCGTTGGAAACACATTGACGTGCTGCTCTTCCTCACACTTGCGCGAAAGTTCCGGACCACGTATTCGATTATCGCAATTGGAACCCGAGAAGAAGCGACATGGTCACATTAATATCGAGTTCGTAACATGTGTTAGCGGCGCGCGGTATTGATTACAAATGGGAACTCCAACTTTTCTCTATCTATCTCTTTCTCTACCTCTCCTTCTTTCTTTTTTTTAGTCAAGTATTAGTTTATAGTCGCTATACGTACTAACGCCACTTATGCACCTCTGACGTCTCTGGATCGCTTAAATTTTCTAGTCATTAAGAGGTACAGCTTGCCTTCTGCTTTCGATTTCGCCCGAACGCTGAGAGCATGCTCGTCCGACGAGAGAAATGTGTACTTGTCCGAAATGCCAGTGAGCCAAGAGCCGGGGTGTCCGCTTGAGACAGTTGAAGGACAGTTGTCACTGGACGTGACCGATCTATCGAGTCACCAACCAGAGATTGTTTCAAGTGGCTCCCGACGAACGCATATCGCTCTGTGTATAACATTGTCCCGCGTCCGTTTCGTGGAAGTGTCAATTAATCAATGACATCATCGGGGACCGTCATCAGAGAGCCTATCTTTCGGAAGCGGGGTCGCAAGGAGGGCCGCTCGGGTCGTGTTTATTCTCTTCTTAGATGAATGTTCCTGCTTTTTATTTTTCTCTGCTATATCTGAGTGGGCGGACTTGTGCGCTGAAGGTTCGGAGGAGATTGCTTGTAACGATGATGACGAGGCCTCTATCGAGTCTTCGGGAGCGCGTCGCAGAATCGTCCATATACATTTGATTAAACGATTGCAGGCAGCGAAGAGAACGTGCTTTCGTACGAGGCCGTGCAGCAGTTGACGATACAGTATACGCGTCCTGTGATTGTTCTCGGACCACTCAAGGATCGCATCAATGATGATCTCATCTCCGAATTCCCTGATAAATTTGGCAGCTGTGTTCCACGTGAGTTTGACAATCGAATGATGACTAACGATAGAAGTTTTCTTAAGGAACTGTATATCGATCTTCACTCATTTGCCTGCAGACACAACTAGGAGTAGAAGAGAATATGAAGTGGACGGACGAGATTATCATTTCGTAGCGTCGAGGGAACAAATGGAGAGGGACATACAAAATCATTTGTTCATAGAGGCCGGACAATATAACGACAATCTTTACGGAACATCCGTTGCGTCTGTACGAGAAGTGGCTGAAAAGGTATGCATAATTTTAGTAACATAGAATCGATCTTTTATAGAATTTTCTCACATGTTATATTATATAATATTGATGAGGAATCATCACTAAAACTATTTGTAATTATTACTTTTATAGGGCAAGCACTGTATTCTTGATGTGAGTGGGAATGCTATCAAGAGGTTACAAGTAGCACAACTTTATCCTATTGCCATCTTCATCAAGCCAAAATCGGTGGAGTCTGTTATGTAAGTTCAGTAATCGATATTCAATACGCACCAATTTTGTTGTCATTTATTTTGCTAAATTTAGCACTCTTAATTTTACAGGGAGATGAATAAGAGGATGACCGAAGAGCAGGCGAAGAAGACGTACGAGCGTGCTCTCAAGATGGAACAAGAATTTGGTGAATATTTTACTGGTACGTTTACACACATTTACAAAACTTCTATTAAATTACAATAAATTTTATATATAATTTGAGGGAATCTTATACCGATCTCAATAATGTTAAATAACCTATTAAAAACTGTAAATAATTAATTTTTCATTGCGAAAAATATTACCTCGGCCAGGAGTCGAACCCGGATCTCTGACATTCCGTGCAAGAAATATATATATAATATATATGTATATATATATAGATGTATTATGTTTCCCCAACTGATACTTACTTTTCTGACTTGATATATTCACATAAGTGGTCTTGTTTTAATCTTAATATCAATTTTGACAAATAAAATTCGACTAAACTATTATTTTATTATTAAAATGCTCACATTGTAATTGTTGCAAACATTCTAAAGGTAATGCAACTTATTAAAATTAAAATCAAAATTTGAAAAAATCACGAGAGAAATCAGTATTTGACGAATACGCAATTTAAATATTCTTATCGTAATAATTAAATCGCTATATCTTATTTGTAGCCGTCGTTCAAGGAGACACTCCCGAGGAAATCTATGTGAAAGTGAAGGAAGTCATTTCCGAGCAATCAGGACCGAACATCTGGGTTCCCTGCAGGGACCAGCAGCTGTGACGTCCTGCCCCCCACGCTCAGCACAGGCCCAATGCCTGGACCCTGCCACCGAGGCGACAAGCTTAGTTATTCACGATAAATATGATTAAGTGATGCTCTAACATCCTTTCCTTATCCCTTCTTCCCTCCCGTGTCCCATATCCATGTAGCACAAAGTCCCTACTTAAGACGCGTAACACGACGTAAATCGCCGCAGAGAATTTAAGCCGAAAGAATACTTAAAAATCATGGGATACACGATATCATCAACCATTTCCCCGCGAAGAACTGATAAAGTCAGTTGGAATGCGTGATTTATTCTCTTCTAAGTTTAAAATCTAATGAAAGATTGTTAAGAGGGAAATGAGGAAAACTAAGCATTCGGGCGTGCTCATCGTGTTGAATTTTATTGTGACCGATGTTTCTGATAACAAAAAATGACGGAGAGAAATTCGTAACTTTTATCGCATGATCGTCGATTATTCGTGTGTGTGATTGTCTCTAATTTTATTAATTAACCTCGCGAAAGAATTCAGAGGCGTTGTATGTATGTACAATTGCTCGAGAAGATTAGATCGGCGTATGCCGAAACCGAATTGGCGAGCAATTCAAGATGCGAGCGCTTTTTCGGTCATACTCGGGCACGGTATTTTTTAATGTACTTAAGCGCAGTTAGCGCGCCGAGAACGTCGAGCGAATTCGACAAACTCGACTCGAAAAATGGGGGGAACCGCGAATAGGAAAAGAAAACCGTAGCCCCAGCGACGTTGTGTATGTGTTAATGAACCTCACAGGATTAAAAGAAATAGTAAAAAAAAAAGCAGAAAAAAAGAGAAGAGAAACCTCACAAGACAAATCTTTAGATGCTAGATACACGTAACGATATATAATGTTTTGTACAGCTAGATGACTAAGCCAGTAACTGGGTTATGTGCAACATTATATTTGTGGAATGGGCGATGCGAGGAGAGAAGAGAAAAACGAGAGAGAGAGAGAGAGTGAGAGAAAGAGCAAAAAAATACTATTGTAATTTAAATATCACTACTAAATTATTATTATAGTAGGTATTATTGTAAATATATATTAATATACTCGCGTGTATCGAGACGGAGAGGCGTAGTAGGTAAAGATAAGAGTCAAAGAAGAAGAGATAGAGGGAGGGAAGACGAGCCTGACAAGGCTTTTCTTTCACGCGCGTCGGCTTTTCTTTTTCACATACATGATGTCACTCAGCATCGTGAAGAAATAAAGAATTTTCACGCCGATTATTCGCGCTCTCATAAAGCTTCAGCACGAGCGTAGGTGTATGCTGCTCCTTCGTATCTTAAGATATAGTTCTTGGCACCGGATCAGCAGTCGTTGTTGATCATGAGGTCTAGCTTGCACGAGATCTTCAGTGCATCTGGCGGAAGGGGGAAAATCATGCTCGTTAATGTACTTACGATTTCTCTGGAGGAATCGCGAAAGGTGCGAATGGACAAAACTGTAACGGTTCGAAAAGAAAAGAAGACGCAGATACGGCCAATTGAGTTCTATCGTAAAATGAGGACTGCATTCACCGAATAATAAGCGAAGATTTTCTTCATCGATAAACTCACATTCAGAATAAGATTCAATAAAAACAAATCCCATCGCTTGGCCTTCAATCGTTCATCGCGCTACGAGCTCACGATCGCGTGCACTATGCACGATGCTTTGTCCGCTTGCTCCTTCCGTTTCCGTAGCATTAATCATGCGCGAGAAGGTACGATAATTGATTCTCTCAATGAAACACGAGCGGGAAATCGAATTGTTGCAAACACGGGGTGTTATTACGGTAATTTAATTGTAATATAGCCGTGTGTATTGTTGTGATGTGGAAATACGAGTCACGATCACGAAAGACAATGGCGACGTTGAGGATAATGACGATGATGATGAGCCAACTTATTTGGTCGCAACATGCGACGATCATTTCTGTCGCTTGGAATAAAACCGAACGTTTCTTTTTCCTTATTTCGTAGTAACGTTTACTCGCGAGGAATGATAATATTGCGCGGACACGCTTTCGGGCAATTTTTTTCCTATATCGCGAGTTCTAGATTATTATTATTAAGCGCGATTATATCATACGAAATAGAATGAGGTACGAAGCGACGAGCTTCAGCTTGTGCCTGAAAGACAGAAGGCCTGGCTTCTCCGAGTTGAAAGATGTCTGTATCGATGTAAAAGACCGTATATAAAGAGAATAATTACCGCAGATACCTATTATACACCTCTATAGTCTATTTAATAATATTACTTATTAAATTGTCAATCTCATGTTCACCTTGTTTCATCGTTTTTAAATAGTTAATAAACGTTTTACCAATTTTACTACTATGGTTTGTGTATCCCCATCCTACTTTTTCATTCCTTGCTTTTATAGAGGATACAGAAATTATAATTAACAAAGTTATATATTAAATAAAAATAAAAGAATATTCTATTAAAAAAAATAATTTGCTTACATACTTTATAAAAATAACAATTTACTTGGTATAACGTATTTTCAAAATCAATTTTAAGTTAAAAGTTAATTTTTACCTAATTTTTAATATTACATCTTATACATAAAAATAAAAATGTAAGTTTTGTAGTGAAGATATAATAGGAAAAAAAATGTAAAATAATTAAAATTTTGTTACATTTAATATGTATTTTTAGTGTTTTAGCAACTAAATGATTGTGGGGTTAGTAAATAGAAATAAGAGTTTCAGTAAAAATACTCGTTTTTATTACATCGATTGAATAACTCGTTATTGTTATTAGCGAAAAAAAATCACAAATATTTTTTTCTTTATTTAGAAAGTTATTCGTCGGGTCCATCGTGACTCGCTTGTAACGACTACGGCAATGACAATAATAACGGTTTCCTCTTTACACGAATCACAGTAAGACTCTAATTTGTTCATCAGCTTCAACGTTGTTTCGAACTAAATCTCTGAAATAAAATATATATTTGTATATATACATATATTTGTATATATATATATATTTATTTATATTTATATATTTGTTCATATTTTATATATATATATTTGTATATAACTTCTGTTTTTCTTTATCCGCATTAAAGCAGCAGCATTAACACATTTAGAAGTTTTTTTTTTAAATATATAAATACAAGGAGGGCAATAGAAGGGAGAGGCGTTGTGTGAATGTTACACGACTAAGAAAATTTACATCCATCGTTTAACTACTATGTATAATATGGTACAATAAAAAAGCGCGTAGTCATAGATGATGATAGTAGTAATAGTAGTAGTTGTTGTTGTAACAGTAGTAGTAGTAGCAGTAGTAATAGTAGTAATAGTAGTAGTAATAATTATAGTAGTAATAGCAGCAGCAGCAACAGCAGTAGTGATAGTAGCTATAGTCGCAGTAGTGATAGCAGAATAATAGTAAATAATATTTCTCTAGTGGTCGCAACATATATACATACTTAGTACATCTCGTGTCATACAACGTGACTATCTCGAAGTCGGTTAATGCTTTATATTGTACACAAATAGTATACGCTATTATAAACATGTACCGCGTTCTACTTACATTTTAACTACTTAAGAATAAAAGATATAGTACGTACACACACCACGGTTTCTTATCATTCTGTCAGAGAGAAAAGTAATTTTTCTTTGTTTCACTCCTCCTTATCTTTATTTCGTTTTTTTTTCTGAAAATATGTATATACAATCGGCATAATGTAACCGCATCTCTATCCATTCGACATCGTTAGTTAAATAAAAATGATAAGGAGTCGCCCGAGTGCACGTCGTCGCTTGCGCAATATATTACGTCGTATCAACATTAATTAATATCACTCAATATTAACTGAATGAAAAAAAAACAATTTTGATAAAGTATTAAAAAATTTAAATAAATATACACAAATATAAAAATATTTTATTAAAATAATCATGGAACTCTCAAGGAGGCACAAGTACCTAGAAAGATTTTTTTTAAATCGATTTTTTTACGTATTTAAAAAATTTTATATCTTAAGAATATTTCTGTTAAGTTATAAATCGATCTAACGAAAAAATTACACAAAATTATAGTCAAGCGCGCTAAACAGACGTATATAGATAGAGACAAAACAAAATTTTTCAAAGTATAACAAGAGTTTCTCATTTCTATTATGATATTCATCAAATCTTCGAATAGCAAAAGATTTGTTTTATAGCCCTGGAGTAGCTCAACGTAAGTGTAACACTTTTAATAATTTCGTAGTGTAAACAGAACATAAAACTTTAAACGCGTTTTTCTCGAAACATACTTTTCAAAAAACGCGTGATCACTATTGTATCTTGAAAATGTTAAAATATCTTGAAAATTAAGCAAACGACTTACAATTTTACACACATATTATAGACACTAAAAATTAATTTTTTTAAATATAAGATTATTTTTGATGGTGCTTCGTTTTTTTCACAATCAAAAAATAAAGAAATTTTTTAGTGAAAAATCAATATTTGACGTCGACTAGTTGCTATTTTTTTCAAACGCAATATTTCGAAAAACACAGCTACATCAAATATTAGATTCATATTTCAATTTTATAAAGCTTGTATCGTTTTGCTTTCAGATGAATTTTGTAGAAGCGAGTGATCGCCGCAAATCATGTTTTTTAAAACAAGGTTCACACGAACGTTAATAACGTCGCCATTTGTAACTATTTTTTTAATAAAATTAAAATGATAAAGAAAAGAAAAAATACACTCTTTACGATGAAATAAACCCAACTTCTTTATCTCTTTTTGTGTTTCTACAAAAAAAAAAATTAGGCTTCGTTTTTACACATCTAGGTACTTATGTCCTCTTGAGAATTGATAACACTACTGTAAAATTCTCATTCTCCAAACAGTTTAAACATTTTACATCGTTATTTTGATAATCTAACAAAATTATTTTCAGATTTTAGCTAAATAGCTAAACTAAATTTTTAGATACCTCAGTAAAAAAGAATCGTTCTTTCGTTAATTATATTAATAATATTAACGATATTAATTAATTGTTTGTCCCTCGCGTAATGGGATTTTTTTCTTCAACTAGCTACTATACACTCATACGCACTAATACGCGTCGCATGCACGAACATACACACTGGCATACACATCTGTAGTCAGTACACTACCAAGTTATTTTCAAGAATACACATGGATTTTTCCCTGAGACTGATTATAACGATTGAAATCTCTATGCTGCACATGGCGTTAAAATAAACGCGTTTTACAGCGTTCTAAGCATCTTAAACAAAACCGAACTATCTGGCCGTATCCTTTTTTTTCTCATTTTATAACATTTCTACGCATACGCTAATATCTTCGTTCGTCCAAAAATCATACGAGAACGTCGTGAGACAATAAGTACAATCGATATAATTTTCCCAAATTGGTTCAAGTTTAAAATAACTTCTCACCTCTCTTATATAAAATTTGCATTCTTAAATTGCTTCGATCAAACATGACGTTGCTTTGATGATTGAAATTCGCTGATTTATCTCTTCTTTATCCTAAACTTTTATGTGCCGAATTAGTTACAATAAAAATTAAAAAAATTTATTAATAGATATTTTTCTATTTGACTCTTTGATTTATTATACTTAATTGCATTTTCTTGTACTCTATACAAAGAGTCCCCTTCTTAATTTCAGAGATTGTTTTCTTATCGAGTTTCACCGATACAATGCGTTAACATTGTCTTGGTTGATTATAATCACAAAAATAGAAACAATTTGAAGATAAAATGTAAAAACGGATATATTATTGCACAGTGAGCGTTTTAAAACGGCATTTTTGG